CGGCATGGGGCGGGCTATGCCGGTGAGAAGAGCGGCTTCTTTTGTACCGGGATTTTTGCCGGAACTGTTTATTGGCTCCTGGTAGGCCAAACTGGCAAAGTAAACGGGCGCCTTGCTATATCTTCTAACTTCCCGCAGTACTTTTTCTTTCGAATGTTTATCAAGCGAAGCCGGGCACTTGGTAAAAACTATGGCATTGGCCCTTCCAGCCCCAAACCTGCTTTCTCTCAAATTGCCGGCCGGCAAAACATGATCACTAAAAAATGGCTCCTGCCAGGTGCTCAGCAAAAGGTAAAAACCGGCTTTTACGTAGCGGTGCTGATAGGCGTCATCGAGAATTATACAAGTTAATTTTTCTTGGTTGAGCAAGTGCTGTACGCCCGGCACCCGCTTTTCCGATACGACAAATTTTACGCGGGGAAATTTTTTGGCCATTTGCAGGGGTTCATCGCCAAAATCGCGGGCCGATCCCAGGGGGTCAACTTCTAATAATCCTTTGGACTTTCGGCCGTAGCCGCGGCTAACCACGCCAATTTCACCGCCAAGGCGCTGCAGCAGGTATTCGGTCATTGGTGTTTTACCCGTGCCCCCGGTACTCAAATTGCCAATGGCAATAATGGGTATTTGAAAGGCGGTGGAGTTGAGCCAGCCTTTATCAAAGGCTAAATTGCGCAAAGACAATACGCCCGAATAAAGTGCGGAAAAGGGCCACAACAACTCCTGCATATTGCTCAGTGGCGGCATTTTAGGCTCCGAACTACTCATTGCTCAATCTTTCGCTTAGATACGTTTTTATATCGGTCAGGTTATCTGGATCAAACCATTTTATTTCATCATCGCGCCTAAACCAGGTGAGTTGGCGTTTGGCATACCTACGGCTGCTTTTCTTGATTTCTTCAACGGCCGTTTCGAGGTCGTATTTTCCCTCAAAGTGGGCGAATAACTCGCGGTAGCCAACGGTTTGCAGGGCATTTTTCTCCCGCAAAGGGTACAGGCTACGTGCCTCCTGCAACAACCCGGCTTCCATCATTTTATCAACGCGCAAATTTATGCGTTCATACAATTTTTGACGCGGCATATTCAAACCAACCTTCAGGCTTCTGAAATCCCTTTTCGCCTTTCGCTTTTGGCGGAAAAAACTAAATTTTTGGCCACTGCTTTCCATTATTTCCAGCGCGCGAATCAGGCGTTGCGGGTTTTGTCGGTCAACCTGCGCGTAATATTCCGGATCCCTCTTGGCCACTTCTTCTTGCAAATAAGGCAAGCCGCTGTCCTGGTATTGTTGGTTAATGCGTGCTCGCGTTTCGGCCGGCACCTCTGGCAGTTGATCAAAACCTTCCAGCAGGGCCTTCATATACAATCCGCTGCCACCCACCAAAATGAGGGCGTCATGCTGCTGGAAGATACCGTTCATGCTTTGCAAGGCGCGCTTTTCAAAAGCACCGGCACTCAAATTGTCTTCCACCGAGAGGTTGCCAATGAAGTGGTGTTTCACGGCTTGCAATTCATCGGCATCGGGTGGGGCAGCGCCAATTTTCAGTTCTCGGTAAAACTGGCGGCTATCAAACGAAACAATCTCGGTTTCTAACCAATGCGCCAGTTCAATGGCAATTTTGGTTTTTCCAACGGCCGTTGGCCCGCATATAAATACAGCAGTTTTCATGGCAATTGGCTACCGCAATTTCGGCAATACAAGGCATCGGGATTGTGCCCGGTTTTGCCGCAGGCAGCACATTTTCTTTTGTTGGCCTGCTCGTTGGCCGATTGACTGCTCTTGTTCAACTCAGACGTTACAATTCCCGTGGGAACGGCAATAATTCCGTACCCCAGTATCATAATGATGGAGGCCAGCAACTGACCCAGTGGCGTGTTGGGTGAAATATCGCCATAGCCCACCGTGGTAAGGGTAACAATGCACCAGTAAATGGCAATGGGAATACTCTTAAAGCCGTTTTCCGGACCCTCTACCATGTACATAAGGGTTCCCATGATAAAGGTGGCACATACCACGGCAATTATAAACACTATAATTTTGGGTCTTGAGGCGCGCAAGGCCTCACTCAAAACCCGGGCTTCTCCTAAAAAGCGCACCATTTTAAGCACGCGGAATACCCGCATCAGCCGTAGGCTTCTAATCACGATAAAGTACTGCGCACCGCCCAGAAATAAGGCGAGGTAAGTGGGAAGTATGCTCACCAAATCTACCAGGCCGTAAAAGCTCAAAGCGTACTTCAGCGGTTTTTTTACAATTGATAGGCGAATGGTGTACTCAATGGTGAACAGCAAGGTGAAAAACCACTCCAAGCCCAGAAATAAGCCCGGGCTCTTCTGCACTATTGACTCAACGGTTTCCAGCATAATTACCAGTAAGCTACTGGCAATGGCCACCAAAAGCGCAATGTCAAATGCCTTGCCTTTTGGGGTATCGCTTTCAAAAATTATGACGTACCACCGCTGTCGCCAGTTATTGGTTTGTGGAGCGTTAGAGGTCAATTGTCGCGCGATTTAATGAGAAAATAACCAATGGCGAGGTACACGATTCCGTAGGCAAATGACAGCAGCAAAGGAAGCGTATCAACGCTGGTATTTGACTCCAGGCCTATCATTGATGCAATGGGACTGAGATTGGTCCAGGGCTGCAACACCACTTCCCTGCCGGGGTAGAGGGGGAGGTATAAATTATAGGGTTCGCCAATATTTAATCCGGCAATGGCTTCTGCAACATAGTAAAAAAGCACCGCCACTATGCTAATGGCGCTGCGCTTAAACAGCAGGGTAAGCATCATGCAGAAACTCAAAAATAAGAACAGCTCGGCCAGGAAGCCCAGTAAAAATTCGGCCTTGTCAAACAGCTGATGCAACTCGGTATTGTGAATGAGGGCCAGCACTAAAATGGTGCTAAAGAGCATGGCAAAACTGGCCGCCAGGAAAATAAACAGCCCGCAGAGTTTTGAGAAGTAAAACTCCCGAACGCTT